CTGCGTTTATTCTGGCGCTCCTACCTTTATTCTGGAGCTCCTGGATTTATTCTGACGCTCCAGCATTTATTCTGTAGCTCCTACATTTGTTCTGGCGCTCCTGCATTTGTTCTGGCGCTCCTGCATTTATTCTGGAGCTCCTACATTTATTCTGGCGCTCCTGCATTTATTCTGGTGCTCCTACATTTATTCTGGTGCTCCTACATTTATTCTGGTACTCCTACATTTATTCTGGTGCTCCTACATTTTTGAAGTTGGGAGCACTGGTGCTGCCAAGTTAAAAAGTTCATTTCAAGCCCTGCATTAGACAAATACTGTTTTTGTTTATTCCTATTTTTATTATTTATTGTTCTGTTGTTTTGTTTTCAGTGTAAAATTATTACTTGTTGTATTACTTGTTATTACCAATGACTAAGAGACTTGCAGACGGTCAAAACACTCGGCTTTGTTTAGATTTTAGTAACTATAACTTTGACTTTTTATATAGTTTGTGGTCTCATTTTATCTGTAACACTGTAAGCTATGACATCGACGGGTCTTTTACTCCAAAGACTCTGTTTTTGCATGTAAGTACCTTGGTAAAATGGTGTAAACAATAGGTCTTTGGCAGAAACGTTATAATAACTGAATAACCATCCTTAATTCAACACTATTGTGTCGGTGGATTAAATGTGCTTGATGGGATGTTTTTCTGTGGACTCTTACCTTTCAAAATAAACCGTGATGTACTGCAATGAATGCGTGTGTGTGCTGTTATTACATGATATGTATGCCTATATATCCAATAAGCGTTTTCTGCAAAACTTGCACAAATTTAGCATTCTTTATAAGCTTTCCATTGAAAAACAACTAGCTTTAATGGGTACTTAGGGGATGTAGCTTTAAACTAATGTAGAGTTTTTCAAGATTACTTTTGTCCTTTTTGATGTAATTGCATAAATATTGACATGTGGAAAAAACAGTGCCTCAGTGTGTCCTTGTCGAGGCGCTGTGGAAGGGGTTAAGCACAAGGACGGAAATGGACTAGTGTTTGTTTTTAGTGTTATTTTGTGCAGTAATATTTGGTTACTGAGCAGCAGTGAATAACACTAAAATGTGTAGTTTTCATGTGATTTTCTAAACTAGTAGTGCTCTGAAATGAATGATTGCTAAATAATCTTGATAACCATGAAACCGTGATTATTTCTCAGACTATAATCCTAAAAACCAAAATCTATAATCGTTGCATCTCTTAATTGTGCTGCTACTGTAAGTGTGTTCAGAGTGTGACAGAGCAATGTGTGCTTGTTGCTGCTGGACACTTGGCAACAGAAACAGCCAATTAGAAGCTGATCAGCGAGGCACATGACATGTCAGTAAGGGAAAGTGTGCATCATGTAAACAGCAGTCAGTGAGAGAAAATACATATTCAAAGATAGAAAGTGTGTAAACTGGAGTGATCAGGAGATGTTAGGTGACATAATTGGCTCCATGTGTTCTTTCATTTGTACTTTTGACTTTGTCTTCTTAAAACTAATGAGCTACACGGCGACATTTAATATACCTGACAACATGAGGAGAGTTCAGTTAGTTCATTACCATTATGATTGTAATTACTCTTACGCCTCACGTGTGTTGAACTCTGTGTCAAGTTAAAGAACATCTACACACAGCACCAGTCATCTGTGTCAGCTTCAAAGCAGAAGAGCAGGAAGAACTCAGAGCAAGTGTTCAACATTTCTATTTACAGGAGCTCAGAGGCTGTGTCTGGACACCAGTGGGCTTTCTGCTGCACTGTATTCAGTTTTGCATTCTGATTCAATAAACCCTAAGATTACCTGCTGCTCCTCCAATCAGCAACATGACAACACAAAAAAGCCCTAATATGAAATAATGTGGGCTATTATGAAATCGTTTTGTAGTAATTGTTGAGTTGAGAATCATTTACCTCAGTGTCTCCAGTATACAGTTTGGACTCTTCAGTCCATCAGAGAGAAGCTTCACACCTGAATCCTGCAGGTCATTGTTACTCAGGTCCAGCTCTCTCAGCACACAGTTTGAGGATTGTAGAGCTGAAGACAAACTCTCACAACTCTGAACAGTGAGATTACACATGACCAATCTGAGAAATAAGAACATAAATCAAATTTACAGTGTATTTTTTTGTCATTCACTTCATGTAAATAATAATTATAATTAATCAGTCAATCAATCAATCAGTCAGGTGTTTGAACTCAGACCTCAGTGTCTCCAGTTTACAGTTTGGACTCTTCAGTCCATCAGAGAGCTTCTTCACTCCTGAATCCTGCAGGTCATTGTTACTTAGGTCCAGCTCTCTCAGCACACAGTTTGAGGATTGTAGAGCTGAAGACAAACTCTCACAAGACTGAACAGTGAGATTACACATGACCAATCTGAGAAATAAGAACATAAATCAAATTTACAGTGTATTTTTTTGTCATTCACTTCATGTAAATAATAATTATAATTAATCAGTCAATCAATCAATCAGTCAGGTGTTTGAACTCAGACCTCAGTGTCTCCAGTTTACAGTTTGGACTCTTCAGTCCATCAGAGAGCTTCTTCACTCCTGAATCCTGCAGGTCATTGTTACTTAGGTCCAGCTCTCTCAGCACACAGTTTGAGGATTGTAGAGCTGAAGACAAACTCTCACAGGACTGAACAGTGATATTACAGAACTGTAGCCTGTGAGGAAAAACAGAAATAATGATTTTGCATTTACCTATTAATCCAGAGCAGAGACAAAAACACTTGAATGTTGTCTTTTAGTTAAGGCAAAGGTAAAATCACTATATGGACTCTGTAAACACTGAATTTAAGGGAGAATCCAAGGCTGTTAAATAAACATAAAATTATTCTTTACTTAACAATTTACATTTTTGTGTGATAATTAATTATTAGTTATCATTATTAAAAACTTTCTATATTTTCCAAACTCATGTTAACATATTAGAGCTATCAGTTTTGAAATGCACACCATCTATACCTATATGCGTTAAAGAAAGGTGAGATTAGATTATTGTATTGTGTAAAAGAATCAAAGTATTGAAAATAATGTCTGAAAATGGAGTAAACATAAGGAGAACAGATATTGTATACAGCAGGAGATCAGTAATACATGTTTGATGTGAAAGCACAAATAGTCTGTGCTGTTTCTACTCTGCATGTATATGACTCATGGGTTGCAGATGTGCTGCAAATCGATGTGTAAAATGGGCATAAGTGTATCCAGAAAACTCTTACAGTGCTCTTGTGGTGTTTTTGACCACTGGTATCAGTCTCATCAGTGCTTCATCAGATCTTCTGTATTTCTGCAGTTCAAATTTCTCTTGAGTCTCTTCTGACATCAGAAGCACAAACACCAGACCCGACCACTGAGCAGAGGACAGATCCTGTCTTGTAAGTTTTCCAGAGCTCAGACTCTTCTGGAGTTCCTCTGCAAAGTCATCTTTCAGTTCATTCAGACAGTGGAAGAGGTTGATGGTCCTCTCTGCTGATTTCTCCTTCTTTATTTTCTCTTTGATATAGTCAGTCGTGTGTTTGATGTTTTCAGTTTTGCGCTTCAGTTCTGGGAGGAGCTGCTTCAGGCCACTCTGATTAGATTCTAGTGAGAGACCCAGCAGGAACCGAAGGAAAAGGTCCAGGTGTCCGTTCTTGCTTTGTAAAGTTTTCTCGACTGCATCCTTATGAAGTTTAAACAGGGTCTTTGTAGAGAGTTTCCATGTCAGTTCCTTTTTCCTGGATTCAAGAAATGTATTTTCTTTCTTGTCGTTGTAAGTGAAAAACACATAGAGAGCAGCAATGAACTCCTGAACGCTGAGATGTACAAAACTGTAAACCTGTTCCCCTGAAATGGGGTTTTCCTCCTGAAACATTCGAGTACATAATCCAGAGAACACAGACCCTTCCTTGACATCTAGTCCACAATTCTCCAGATCTGTTTTGCAGAAAATCAGTTGTCCTTCCTCCAGCTGTTCAAAGGCCAGTTTCCCCAGCTTCAGAACAATGTCTTCAAAAGACCAGGCCTTGGCTTTAGGTTCAGAGTTGTTGCTGTATTTTTCTTTCATCTGTTGCTTTTGAGACAGTAAGAAGTTGATGTACATCTCTGTGAGAGTTGTGGGTGTTTTTTCATTGCTCTCTTGACCCAGCAGAGGCTGAAGAACAGTGAGAGAGATCCAGCAGAAGACGGGGATGTGGCACATGATATACAGACTCCTGAATTTCTTGATGTGGCTGATGATGTTTCCAGCAACCTCAAGACTGCTGTTTTTGATGAAGTACTGCTCCTTCTGCTCATCATTGAATCCTCGCACCTCAGTCACCTGATCAATGTAGGTTTGGGGTATCAGACTGGCTGCTGCTGGTCTGGATGTGATCCAGATAAGGGAAGAGCGAAGCAGCTGTCTCTTTAGGAGATTTGTAACTATCTTATTCACTGTCATTTCCTTATCAACATCAGTAAAGCCATAATCCTCTTCAAAGTTCAATTCAAAGCGATATTCATCCAGTCCATCAAAGATGAACATGACCTTGCAATGTTCTTCAGGAAGAGAGCTCAGTCCTCCCGGTCTACTAAAGAAGTACTTGTTAAGCAGACCTATGAGACTGTACTTTTCTTCTTTAATCAAATTCAGTCTACGGAACGGCAGTGGAAATATGAAGACTATTTCCTGATTGTCTTTTTCTTCAGCCCAGTCAAGGATGAATTTGTTGACAGAGACAGTCTTTCCCACTCCTGCGATCCCCAGTGTCAGGACTCTTCTATATTGTTGACCTGTGTCAGGCTGAACTTTAAATATGTCGTTACACTTGAGTGGTTTATCCTTGGCTGTCTGTTGGTTGTGTTTTGACTCTATCTTTATCACCTCATGGTCATTTTCTCTTCCTCCAGTCTTGTTCTCCACCACATATAGATCAGTGTAAATATCATCCAGCTTCTTCTGGTGACCCGTCTGTGAATTACCAAGCAATATCTGCTTATAGTCCTCCTTTAACTTCTCCTTTAGTTCACGGCTGGTGTTTGTGTAATCAACAGGAGGGGATTTACAGGTCTCTGAAGCTGCACCTTGTTGGAAAATGGTTTTTTCCCTCCCCGAGTTCAGGATTCGCTTGAAAGTAGACGCAGGAAACTTAACTTTATCAAGTAATCAAAATTTAATAAAAAGGATCAGATCAACAATGCTGAGCCCAGGAATACTGAAGAGACACCATGAAAAGGCAAACTGGGCGCTCCAGTATTGCCGTACAAACATAAAACAATAGTTTTTATTCTTGGTTGTCTCCTCCCCACTCTCGATGAGCCTCCAATCCATTATTCGCCTTCCCATCATCAGATCTCATTTCAACCAGTTAGAATCTGCCAGTAGCCTGCAAACACACACACACAAAACACACATGCACCCCTACACAGACTGAGATGCGTCTATGAAATGCTGGTTCCTTGCAGGTGTTAAACCACATCCTGTACCAAAGCACAGCTGTCCATGAGCTCAGATCTCTCGTCTTACTTCTGTGGAAAACCCCGTTTCTCTAGAAGCGAAGCTTAAGCGACAGGCTCACATTTCAAACAAAGCAATAGGCTCATATTTCAAACAAAGCATTTCATCAGTAAAGAAAATAGCAAAACTTATTATCAATGTTAAACATATATAAAACATCAAAAATATGAAAAAACTTAATATCAATTCTGAACATATAAAAAACATTAAAAATATGATTCCCTCAAAAATATAATTCCCTCAATTCCCTCTCTTGATCTCGAAAGAGATCACACCATATCCAATAGTTCCTCCACTTCCTCCATCACGTCATCCCCCTCCGCTGCAGCAAGGAGGGGCATCTGATAAGGAGGTGGGCTTTCCTTCTTTTCAATTGCAGTTATTATCAGCCTATTTATCAAACTTCTGATACAGGGAATACAGCAACACCCACATGTCACCAAAATTCCTAGGAAAATACCCATTGATGTTAACATAGCAATAATCACCCCTTTCCATTCCCCAAACATATCAGACATCCATTTAGACACAGCATTTTCTATCCCTGAGCTAGCTTTCAGTTCATTTGACAATTCTTTTAGTCCCTCCAGAGCCCTGGATACGGAACCATCAGGGGCAGTGTTGTTTGGTATGACGGTGCAACACGTGTCTTTAAACATAGAGCAAACCCCGCCCCTTTCTGATAATAACATGTCTAAAGCTAATCGATTTTGTATAGTCATCAAAGAGGTAGCAGCCAATTGTTCTTTTAATCCAGACACAGCATCTCTAGTGAGATTTGACAGCCTTTGTACGTTGTAATGTATGTAATTTATTCTGTCTACATTTTTATTTGGGGTCACGGGGAATAATGCTGCTATTACAGGTATATTTTCGAACCCTGCTGCTACTTGGTCAGCCAATTTATATTCATCTGGAACTCCCCTGGGGATGCCTATTGCGTCTATGTAGGTGGGGCTATTGCGTGTTAAATCGAAATCACTATTCACTGACCTTTTTCGCCTGTTTTTATGCCCATTTATAGCCCTATTTCCTATCACGACCATAGGAACAGCGACTCTTATCATAGCACATACTCCTTCCATGGTGGGTTCTATTCTAGCCAATACCACCTTTTCTCCACACGCGTAATACAAACCCACTCTGCCCCATCCCCCTAGTTTGTCATGGCCTTCCTGAATCATCTGTCCACACCATTCCCATTTAAATGCTCCCACTAATATTTTGGATGCACTGGAGGTAGTTAAATTGAAACAGGTATAATTACCCTTTCTTCTTTTTAATGCAACTCCCATTGATGACTCATTTCCAGCTGGTGGGTATAGATTACTGAGTGCAGTGCAGTTTTTGGGACTTTTTTCCTTTGTTAGTTTTAACATACATTTGTACCCCCAACTATCATAATCATGTAATGGAGCGGGTTCAGTATTTAATTGTGGCCTTCCTGCTGCACAAGCTAGGCACCCCTCAAATCCTAATTCTTCGGCTGCGTTTGTCACCCATTCTAACCATAAATTTGTTTCGTGATAGCCTGTCTCCAGCGTCATCAGATCTAGTGGGGTCAGTTTGCTATAGTCAGTGCTCTGTATTACTTTCTTCTTGTTTTTGGTTAGGTCTGTGATTATTGGCGCCCCTGTGGGTTTAGGCTTTTTTACGGAGATTTTTATCAACCCCAGTGGGTCTCTTCCTTCTACATCTACCCCTAGAGTGATGTACGTGTCAGTTTCATCATTGCCATTTTTTAGTGATATAATCAACGTGTTTTTCCAGCCTCCCCAACTATGTTGGTATCCCCTAGACAACCTAAGTCGATGTTGGATGCTGTCTGCCTTGGCCAAAGGACTATTTTTCAACATCTTTTTAATGAATCCTGGGGCTGTTTTCCAATTTACTTCATGCCAGGTATGACAATGGGGACCATTCGGAAGCGTGGTGGTAGATGGCCACAAACACCCATAAACATCATATTTTCTCCATGCCACTTGGTCCTTCCCACAATCTATCACTTGACAAAGATCAAACTGCCACATCCCATCCTTTCCCTCTTCTCTTTCTAAGGTAATACGCACCCCTGTTCCCCCCCCTTCTTTTACACTCCGTTTTTCCTTTGTTGCCCCTCCGAATTCCATATGGCAGATTATCCATAGGATTACCACCAACATTATTCCCCATGCCACCACCAATTTGTTTATTTTATTCATTTTGTTAGGAGAATTACCTGAATGTGGCCCTCTTTGAATACTTTCTCAATTATTTCTTTTACTTTGGTGTAGTCTAATTTGTCTAATCCACACCCTAATTTTGGTATAGCTAATATTTTATTTTTATCTTTCTTACACTGGTAACACAATTTTATCAGACTAGCCTCGAGATGCTCGTAGGTGGGTAGGTCCCTACACCACCATTTGGTCACCAAATGGTAAATTTGTCGTGGACCGTGTGTAGTTTTGATACAATCCCCTGGTTGGGCGACTGAAGTGTTCAATTCTTCTACACCGTATTTGTCTCTAATTTGTTTAGCTACCCCAGCTCCCAGTGCATAATCAGCACTTATACAATGTGCAATGGGAATGTGTTCTGGTGTCTGAAGCAAGTCTCCAGTTCGTTGCAAGATTTTAAATACAAGGGTTGCGCTTAGCTGTGTTCTGAGGGCTGGGGCTGCTTCTGTTTGTCCGCTTCTTTCCCCGCCTTCTCCCTCTCTTTCTGGCTCCTCAGGCTCCTCAGTGTCTCCTTCTCCTTCTTCTCCCTCTCTTTGACCTCTCCTGAGGTCAACTCTGACATCCGCCAAAGACCTGTCTGGAGAAGGACAAAACATACAAGCAGACAAATGATACCATGTTGTGCCTTTACCTGCTAATTGCACACAATGGGATGTCCTAGCCGTGACTCGTAACGGTTCGGACCACCTGGGACTAGACCATTTTCGTTTGTGTTGTTTCAATCTCACCCACAGTGTTGTGTCTTCTGCAGGCCTAGATGCTTCACTCTCTGTTGGCCAATTTTTCTGCGGAGAAAACATGTTAATCACAGCACATACTTTATCATGATACATTTGCGGTGAGTCAGTGTCTCCAGCATGCAAGGGGGCCCATGGGCCCGGGAATTGTCTTCCTGTAGCCAATTCAAATGGAGTAAAACCTGTAGTTCGATTAATAGAACAGCGTACTGACATTAGTGCAATGGGAAGTGCATCTACCCAATTCAATTTGGACTTGTGACAAATTTTTGCCAGTTTGTTTTTTAGCGTTAGATTGAGGCGTTCCACTTTTCCCTGACTTTGTGGGTGGTATACAGCTCCATACCGGTGTTTTAGACCCAACAATTTTTCTACATCCGCCAGATGTTCATTTTTGAAATGAGTGCCATTGTCTGACCTGATTATACGAGGGAACCCATGCCTTGGAATGTATTGGTTGATCAAACATTTTACCACAGAAACTGCATCTTCCCTAGCGCATGGGAAAGCTTCTGGCCAACCAGTGAATTGGTCTACTAGGACCAGCAGATACCTTTTTCCGTTTACTCTTGTGATCATGTCAGTAAAGTCCATGACTACTGTACACCCTGGACCTCTATCTGTGGGGAAATGCCCTGCAGTGGGTTTGGAGGTTGGCTTGACATTGAATTCTGCACATGTTTGACAAGAGGCTATTACTCCACTTATCATGTGTGGCATGAAAGGGTGCCACCATTGAGACACTCGTTTAGTCATGTCCTTCTCGCTGCTGTGAGCCAGAGAGTGGGCCTCTGTCAGGACTTTCCCTGCTAATTTTGCAGGCATAATTGGTCTACCTGTAGGACCGACCCATAGTCCTGTCTGGGAATCTTTTCTTCCTCCCTTTTCTAACCATACTGAAATTTCCTCAGCTGCAGCCAAACTTTGTTCTTTAGATAGAAAACTTGTAGTTAGATGTTCGTCAATTTGATGCAGCTCGTCAACTGCAGTCACAGTCATTTGCAATGGTTTGTACCCTGCCACTGTTTTAGCAGCGGCGTCTGCTGCCTCGTTTCCTAATGAAACAGGATCTTTTCCTTTGGTGTGTGCTGCACATTTAATTATTGCTACCTCTTGTGGCAACATAATTGATTCTAATAAATCAGAGGCTTCTTGCGCGTGCTTTATGGGCTTCCCAGACGATGTTACAAACCCCACCCTTGCCCATCCAGTTAGTTCAGATGTAGCTGCCCCTACTGCATATGCTGAGTCTGAATAAATATTTACAGTCTTATCTTTGGCCATGTGCAAGGCTCTTACAAGGGCCAATAACTCAGCTCGCTGTGCTGATGGTCTGTCTTGCAACACCTGCTGTTCCCTTATTGTATACCCGTCGTCAGTCTGTTCCACGATGGCGTAACTGGCTACAAGTTTGCCTGAATCAGTTTTAAAACAGCAACCATCACAGAACAGAGTTAGCTGTGGTTTAGTTAATGGAATGCTACTTAAACCTGGTCTGATCTGTTCCTCTGCCTCTGCCCTGGGGATGCATTCATGTGGTTCACCCTCTCCTGCATGAGCCATGTTTACCCCTTGGTGTTCATATATGATGTGTGGGGCGGTCAATATTCTAATTAGCTTGTTCTGTCTCTGTGCAGAAAAAGTGAATGCAGATGAAGTGATGAATGATATAACAGAGTGTGACGTCAATACATGTAATGGATGTCCCATGACTATGTGCTCAGATTTTTCTATCAATTTAGCCAGGCCAGCAGCATACCTAGCACAAGTGGGCTGTTTTTGCTCTATCTTATCTAGGGGTGCACTCAAATAATGCAAAACCCTCCTTTGCTGGTGTTGTTTTTGATACAGTACTCCATTGGTGGTGGAGGCTGTGGTGCTAATGTCCAGAAAGAATGGCAACTCATAATTTGGAGTCTGTAAGGCTGCTGCAGTGGCTAAATCAGCCTTAAGCCCACAGAAAACAGCTTCAGCCTCTTGTGTCCAGTTTAGTCGTGCTCTACTGTTTTTCATCCCAACTTCTTTTGCCAATGCCCTCAATGTTGCAGTTCTTTCTGAGTAATTTGGTACATATTGTCTGCTATACCCTATCAACCCCAGAAATGACATCATGTCTTTTACTACTAGTGGCTTTGGGTGTGACAACACAGTTTGTTTGGTGTCATCAGATAGGGCCGTGCCTGTTTGTCCAATTATTCTTCCAAGGAAGTGCACTGTTGCCCTGCTGATTTGTATTTTTTCTTTGCTCACCTTTAACCCTGCAGTACTTAGTAATGTTAGTACTTTTCGTGTGTCCTGCAGGCAGACCTCGTTGGAGTGTGCTGCCAATAACAAGTCATCAACATACTGGATAACAATGGTACCTTCATGCAAAGTACAGCTGTCCAACAGCTCCCTTAATGCTTGGTTGAACAGACCTGGGCTTAAAATAAACCCTTGTGGTAGTCTGTTGTAAGTATATTGCGCTCCCTGATAGCTAAAAGCAAAAATGTCTTGACATTGTTCTGCCAGTGGCATGCAGAAAAATGCATTAGCCAAGTCTATGCACGTAAAGTGAGAATGTTTTGGTGTCAATTTAGACATGATGGTATAGGGGTTGGGGGTGGGTAAGGTAGCAGTCAGTACTTTCTCATTGATTAGCCTTAAATCATGCACCATTCTGTATTTTCCAGTTGTCTTTTTCAAAACAGGAAGGATTGGGGTGTTCCAGTCAGACACTGTTCTGCGTAGGACCTCAGCAGCCTCTAACTCTTTTATGGTTTCCCCTATTCCCTCCACAGCTTCTGGTCGAAGTTTATACTGTCGGACGTTTACTATTTCTGTTCTGTCTATCTGAAATAATACTGGTTCTATTGACCATTTACCCACATCCCCAGCTCCCTTAGACCATAGGGACTCTGGCATTTCTTGCAGTAGTCTCTCTGCCCCTTCCCCATCTCCCTCTTGGGTGGTAACTATCCTACGTACCTCAACCATCTGGTATATGGCTTCCTCAGTGATATCAATTGTCAACCTATACCCGTCTAGTGCTTGTGAGTACTCCCATTCATTGTCTGTCTTTTCCCAATCCCCAGCTTTCTGCATTCGTTTCACCATGGGCCCTAAAGCCTTAGCCTCATGCCCTTCATTCATAAATATTGTCACATGTGGGGTGGAGGTTTCTGTCATCTCAAAATAACCTTCTTGCTCTTCTGTTAATATTATCTCTGCAGCCACACCTTCCCTTGCTACAAACAATTTAGTACACTTGATGCTAGTTGACCTGCCTAGTACTTCTGCGAAACTTTGTTCATATTCTTCATCCTCACTGGTGTCATACAGTAGTGTACAGTGCCAGGGGTCAGTGGGGGTCTGAAATTTATGCAGTGTGTTTAGCCATGGCTCCCATTTTGTTATTACCTTCTGCAATTTGGTTTTGTCAGTTAATTTTAACCAATAACATCTTGCTTTGACTGTTTTATCTGCTTGCAGGACCCATTGACCTCTCACCGTTGTGGTCACTGGTGTTGAGCAGTTAGTTGTCAAACCATTGGGGAAGATGATTATCAGTCCTTCTGGATGACATAGAATTTTTACTCCTAATTTTACCAATAAATCTCTACCCAGTAACGCAGAGGGGACATTTGCAGAGCACAAGAACGAATGGAGCAACGTCTGCCCTGCCACCTGGACCCGGAGTGGTTTGGTTAATGGCCATTTTTCAGTTTCCCCAGAGAACCCTCTCACTTCTTCACTTTGTGTAGACAGTGAGTCCTTCTCCATCATTTGTCTTTGTATAGTGGAGAAGGTGGCCCCGGTGTCCACCAGGGCCTGAACTGGCTGGTTGTCCACCAGTATTGTTAGGAGGGGCTCAGCCAGGGCACCCTCACTGGTTCTCTGTGGGCCTCGTCAATAGTCTGCATGGTCCAGCGGGCCCCAGACCGGGCTTTGCCTGGGCACCTGTTGGTTGCTGTACCACGAAACATTTCTGGGGGCACCTCTTCCTCTTCCTCCTTGAGGCCCTCCTCCTCCGGGAGCCCGTCCCCGCGCAGGAGGTTGCCCCCTTTGGCCTCCATATGGACAGTCACGCTTCCAATGATCCCGCGCCCCGCAGCCGAAGCACCCCTGCATCACTGGGTTTTGGTTCTGATTACCAGAAGGTGGCCAGTTGGGTGAGGGGTCATAGGGATAAGAATCAGGAATACCATGTGGGCTGTTAATGTGCCCTGAAAATGGGTGCATGTTGTGTACAGGTGACCTGGCCCCCTCTACTCCTGGCCCTGTCAGTACTGGTAGCTGCAGATTTTCTTTCTTTTTCTTCCCTTTTTCCTTTTCTGCCTCTATTTGCATTTTTAGTAGCTGTGTTTTTAGTTTTTCTACCTCAGTTTCTTCTTTCCCTTGTCTCTCTACTGCCTTGTCTACGTGGTGGATGAAGTGGCGAGTCCACACTTTCCCTTCTCCCCCCTGCATGTCTGGACTGTTTTCTATAGCGACTACAGCGCTCGCAGGAACACCCTTAATCACAGCCTGTCTGAAAAATTCTTTACATATTTCAGAGGAGTCTGGATTTTCCCCTGTCCTATCTTCCCACTCAGCCTCACACCTGTGCAGATATGCTGATGCAGATTCTCCAGTCATTATTTTGAACTTTATGCTTTGGTAAGTCAATTTTGGGGTAGGGTAAATTCGCCTCATGGCGCTTCCCACCTCAGTGCAGAACCTGTTTAAAGGTTCTTCATTTTCTTCTGTGGTCGTGTTAGCTTCCCTTTCTATCAGTTCTACCTGTGTTCTAGTTAGTATGCTTCCCCATAATGCTCTAACATCTCCCAGTGCTAGGTCTGTCCCATGGGTCAGGGTCAACAGTTTAGTGAACCACCTCTGACCTCCCTTAGTAATTTCTGGTAATTTACTTAGCACAGCATTCATATCTGTATGTCCCCAGGGTTTGTATTCTTTCCTTCCTGTAGCTGCCCTGATTAGTGGCATCACTAATTTTGGGGTGCTGTGTAAGTTTTTCATAAACAAGGGCATTTGTTGTTCCCTATTCTCCTCTGCATGTACCCATCTTTTAGTTCTGTCTGACAAGCTATCTAGCTCGGGGCCTTGTGCTCTGTGCTCTCTTTGTAATGCAGCCCCTCTTCCCCAGTCTACATCCAATTGATACCCTGATACTACTATCTTGTCTCTGTCCTCACAGGTACCCCCCACTGATGTGGTCCCTTCAGATCTTACACTTCCCTCTTCTTCGTTGAGGTTTCTCTTCAGCTCTTCCTCCATTTCTGCTACCCTCGACATTGTTTGGTTTACACTGTCTCTTGCGAGTTGAATGTTTGCGGTAAACTGCTTTGCTATTTCCTGTTTTACTGCTTCCTCTATTTCTATCTTAGTCTGAACTTCCTTTAGGGCCGTTTTCAACTGTCTTTGTTTTTTATCTTCCTCTGTTTCTTCGACCTCTATAGCGCCCTGTTTTATCATGAACTTGAAATCTTTGTTAGCTTGTTTAGTAGTAGTTTCTATTTCTCCCCCTTTTACTATCATTACTGGCATCTGCATTGGTGCTGAGGGGGTTTTGGGTTTTTCTTCTGCACTACTATAGGGTGGGGGCCTCTCTGGTGAGTCCCTTTGATCTGCCCACACAGCACTTTTTACTTTGGTAACCATGGCTGCAGCTACTCTGCTCCATTGTCTCAGTCTATCTTCTGCTTTTTCTATTTCTCTGTTTGCTGCTCCCTTCTTCCAAACCCCAGTTTTGTCCCTATTTTGTCTGGCCAGTACCAAATCTGTATCTGCCCTTTTCTCCTCTGTCAAAAGTATGTTCAGTAACTTTCCCTGATTTTTAGTTGTCTCGGTCCAGCCATTTAGACCTGAGAGATATGTCCACTGACTTTCTAATGTTTTACTTATTTTCTTTCTGTCTTTTGGTTCGGTGTGATGTATTATCTGTTTACAGATACCATCCCACGTCTCTTTATATGTTGTCATTTTAATAATGGTTTTGTCTCCCTATTGGGGTCACACTCCTCACAATCTTCCTTATGTCCTAATAATCTACACACCCACCACTTAGGAATATTTTTCACTTTTCTTGGTTTGTAATATAACACTTTCAGCATCTAATTATGATTCCTTCATTCACTCGATGTTTTATTCACATGCTCTCAGTCCCTATGAATATAGGGCTCATCAATCACACTCTCCTCTCTGAGCTCCCAGAATGCTGCGTCCGTTCCTACCGGGTCACACTTAAGTGACGGTCCAGAGAAGGTGCGCAGCACTCTGACCTCCCAAATACGGAGATATTCATTCACTCACATACACTCATTCAGGAATCCGCACACACTTGACACTTTAACACAAATTTGCACCCTTTAACGTTTTGCCTTTTACTCTCTTTTATGTGTTTTTACGAGTGAGTTAACCTCGCCGGGTAAACTTCAATTCTCAACCATGCCAGGAAAACACGATACGAGTTTTTATAATATTTCTTAACCACGCCGGGTCAACTCGTTTAATTACTAATTCAGAGTTTTTATAAATTTGCTTAACCTCGCCGGGTCAACTCTTTTGACTGCCAATGCGGAGTTTTTATAAATTTTCTTAACCGCGCCGGGTCAACTCCTTTAATTACTAATTCTGAGTCTTTATAAATTTGTTTAACCACGCCGGGTCGACTCAATAATAATCAATTCTGAGTTTTTATAAATTTGTTTAACCGCGCCGGGTCAACTCAATAATAAACCAATTAATAGTATGAGTCTTTATAAATTTGTTTAACCACGCCGGGTCGACTCGTTTAATAAATCAATTCTGAGTTTTTATAAATTTGTTTAACCACGCCGGGTCAACTCAATGATAATCAATTCTGAGTCTTTATAAATTTGTTTAACCGCGCCGGGTCGACTCAATGATAATCAATTAATAGAATGAGTTTTTAAACCTTGTAACCACGCCGGGTCAACTCATTTTAATTGCCATTGTTGATCTAATTCAAATTATTTACGGATTATGTTGGTATTCAATCCCCAATCAACCTTAAATTTGGTAATTCCAATCTTGCAGTACTTTTATCAAAAAGGTGACTGCTTACCTTATTAGAAGTTCTGCGCAGAGGTTGATTTGAGATCGTCCTCCAACTCGACGAAGCGTCTGAGCGAATCCGGGTGCCCCCTCCAAATTGTTGGAAAATGGTTTTTTCCCTCCCCGAGTTCAGGATTCGCTTGAAAGTAGACGCAGGAAACTTAACTTTATCAAGTAATCAAAATTTAATAAAAAGGATCAGATCAACAATGCTGAGCCCAGGAATACTGAAGAGACACCATGAAAAGGCAAACTGGGCGCTCCAGTATTGCCGTACAAACATAAAACAATAGTTTTTATTCTTGGTTGTCTCCTCCCCACTCTCGATGAGCCTCCAATCCATTATTCGCCTTCCCATCATCAGATCTCATTTCAACCAGTTAGAATCTGCCAGTAGCCTGCAAACACACACACACAAAACACACATGCACCCCTACACAGACTGAGATGCGTCTATGAAATGCTGGTTCCTTGCAGGTGTTAAACCACATCCTGTACCAAAGCACAGCTGTCCATGAGCTCAGATCTCTCGTCTTACTTCTGTGGAAAACCCCGTTTCTCTAGAAGCGAAGCTTAAGCGACAGGCTCACATTTCAAACAAAGCAATAGGCTCATATTTCAAACAAAGCATTTCATCAGTAAAGAAAATAGCAAAACTTATTATCAATGTTAAACATATATAAAACATCAAAAATATGAAAAAACTTAATATCAATTCTGAACATATAAAAAACATTAAAAATATGATTCCCTCAAAAATATAATTCCCTCAACCTTTACAAGAGAGAGGAACAATTAGTGTTTTTATTAAAGTGAATTATAATTATGTCCTGTGCTTTTCAATATAAAAAATAACAACAGCACTCATGAAGTCGTTTGTTTAATGATTTAAATGACGTGACACCTGTATGGTGTTGAATGAGCAGGGGTAGCTGATTTGACTTGAATCTTATATTGTATTGATGTAAACAAAGTTGATTACTCAGAATAATGCAGGATGTTTCAAAAATAATTCTCCAGAATTACAGTGTCACCGACTCGGTCCCAGTCATTCCCCTCGCTGGCCAGCAGAGGTCACCATCTCCGGACTTCTAACCATTACGTCATCCATTCACCCTGATCCCAGCACACCTGTTCTCCATTCCACTAATGACCCACGTACCACATATAAGCAGCTCACACACACACTTCAGTGTGAAGTCTTGTTTAGCCCTGGCCAGCATTTCTGAGCGGTCTATCCTGCCTGATCTCCCGTTTACCACTTCAGCCCGTCTCACGACTCTGCTCTGTCTTCTGCCTGCCCTCGACCTAAGCCTGTTTCCTCGGACTTTGATTCTCGCTGCCTGCCCCTGACCAAAGCCTGTTACACGGACTCTGAATCACGCTGCCTGCCTCTGACCCAAGCCTGGTAATCACTCTGCGTCTGTTATCTGCTAAACCTACTTTGATGTGTATGTTGTATGTCCGCACAGCCGTGCGAGTTGTTGATGTTTAAGTGTGACTTAATAAATACTGCAATATGGATCCCTCCGTGACAGTCTCCCCGTTACATCCAGTGTGTCTATTACAGGTTTTTGAATTACTGCTGATCATTTGCTGTCTCAATGTTTCCTGACCTTTCAATTTATTTAGTTATTTTTATTTTTCCCCACAGGAACAACTATCTGCAAACAAAACATGCACACAAATATAGAGATGTTTTATTTTTAAAAGAAAAAAATAATAGTTTTTGTCCCCAGAAAAAGGCTCTTTCATTTGAAGAAGAAAAACTGCAGGGGCTCAAGCCCTCCAAAGCGAGATCCAAGGACATCTTCATTATTATTTAATACATGCACAGTGTGAGCCGGCATTACAATGTGTTCTTGTTCCAGTAATGTTTATTTTACAACTGATCTTTGTTCTTGTTTTCCTTTGCTCAACTCTATTTTCCATCATTGTTCATTCTGTCTGTGCAAATGAGTAGTAAATGATTGTTTTGATAGTTTTATCTGTGGAGGTCTTTTCTCATTGTAAAGCATGAATTGTGTAAAAGGCTTGATAGAGATCTTGCAGTTGGACTATGATTCTGCTAATGCTCAGTTATTTTAACAGCCATGCAGACTCCTGGTGACAGAAGATGAGGGAACACTACAGAAATCCAATTCTCACATAAACTTTAGTGAGAGTAGTATTCATTTATTCATTAATTTTCTTTTCGGCTTAGTCCCTTTATTAATCGGGGGTCGCCACAGCAGAATGAACCGCCGACTTATCCAGCATATGTTTTACGCAGCTGATGCCCTTTCAGCTGCAACCCATCTTTGGAAAACATCCATACACACTCATTCACACTCATACACTACAGACATTACGGACAGTGTGAGCTGGCTTTACAGTGTGTTCCTGTTTCAGAAATGTTTGTTTTACAGCTTATTCTAAGCTTCTTCATTCTTGTTTTACTTTTTTCATTAACATAGATTTGTCTTGTGCTTCCCATTACAAGAAAGAACAATTGCACATATAAATAAAGTAACAAATTCAGATGAACGAAGATAAACAATATATTCACACACATTAGCTATATACAAAATATTAAATGTATTTACATTCATTGCTCAGAAGCTGTGAAATACATCTGACTCAAAATCCGTTGCTAGGACAGGGTATTAACATGTAAGATTTGAGCTGGAAATGATCACATTTGTAAAGTTTGACAGGGAATTAAACAATACCTTGCTTCTGTGTATTCTCCAGATCTTCAGCTAATTGATTCTGCTTTATTTTTCTCAGGGCGTCCACTGTGATCTGAACGGCTTTTTCTGATCCAAAACATGACACCAACTTATCCACAGTATCCAACCTGTCTGCATTTTTCATTTCAGCTTTTGGAACATCTCTATGGTGATTTATTAAGCACCACTGAAACTCTTTTAGTTCAGCGTCTTCCAGTTCATCCAGTGAGTTCTTGAGCAGCTGTTTAACATTCGCCATGGTGCTTTACCTATTCACAACTACAGGACAAGAGCAACAACCTCTGCATTAGTTTCACAATTAACATATGGACCTAAGCATTTATTTATTATTTGAATAATGAAATTACCCTGTTAGAGGAAACTTCACATTTCAGAAAGCTAAATATTGAAAACTGATTGTCACTACTTTAAGTGGCTCTTACTAACCAGGAACAATGTAGATGTTTCTTGTTCGTCTACTTAAATTCTGTCTTGAGCAGAAGCTCTGTAACTCTACTTCCTGTTTTATTTAGATGTTCAACTGATTAAACCACAACCCTTTTAGAAAACTAATAAAACCAGTTTTGGAAAAGACTTCAGATGACAGGTGAGACCAGTGGAGAAACACACACATATGTCCACTGTTAAAAGACCCTGACATACTACATAATATGAGTACAAATACCCATCACTCTGCTAGTACCCTGAAAGGGACCTTTCTGAACCTCTAGTTTAAATCTTATAATTCATATGCGGTACAAAATAAGGGCCTATCATGGACATTTTAAGGTACAGTGATACTTAACGTACCTTATAGGTACATATTTATCTGACAGTGTTGTAGAATTGTTGCAAAAAAGTGAACACTGAAAAACACTGATATAATACAGTGTTTATATAATACAGGGAAAAACGCTAATATAGGATAAAAGCTCTTGGAACGCAGTTGTACATGCTCAGAATCCACTGGATCATGTTGTTTTTATTGTGACACACATGGCCAACTAGACCTCAGTTTATGCTGTTTAATGCAGACATGGGAAAAGAACTGGAAGATAATTGCAGCAGCTTGAGAATGTAACTGAGTAGCAAGAATTATTGTACATATTTGTTATAAAGCTGGTAGAGCAGGCATTCATCCGGCACTGGCTTACAGCATGTGGGCCAAACATTGGCCAGGTTTGGCAGAGGTGGCACCGTCTTTAAGGCAGCATGCAAGACATGGGCCAGATGTCAAATGCAGTATTTGGGCCAGAGGTTATAAATGGCAGTGCGAGTTTTCTGTATTCTGTAGCTTTTTTAAGGGCACACTCACACTATGCTATGCGAACTGTGCAAGGCCTGTTTCCTGTTTTGACTGTGTTCCACTGCATATCAAAACACTAAAACAATATAACTAAAGAAATGTCCACAGTGCTGAGCTTAATAAACACTCATAAGCACAGATTTCAGTATTAGAATGAAAAGGTTTCTGCTTTCTGTGATCCTCCTCCAGAAACACACTCGACATTAAAAGGTGTAAATGAAATCCTCAGAATGTTTTCAGCTCAGCAGTAAAGTCTCAGAAACACAAAGAGATGATCGACGGATAATCAGACGACACTCATAGATGATATAAAGCACAGAAAGAGCAAACTCTCACCTCAAATAATGCCTGCAGATCTTCCTGTTCCTCCGCTGAACTGTTGAGCTGAACAACACATCTGAAAACTCTTTCACCTCAGGAAAACACATCACATCCTGTTTGAGACATGAGGAAATAAGCAGTCAGATGAAAAACAAAGACACACAAGTAGATAAGTGTAGTGGCAATTTTCTTTAAGGGGGTTCTCTCAGTGGTCAATATGACAAATTCTTACCCAAAGTGTCTTTTAAAGTTTGATTCTTTGCAAAGAAGGTCACTCAGTCATACATCAACAACAGTTTCTGCAGAGAGAGAGATGCGGAAACAGAGTGCTTTCTCTTTTTATTGAGTTTGTAATACCCACAAGGTCATCAGTGACATACGGGATGAATCACAGTTACATCAGCACTTCATTTTTGAACATTTCAGCCTTACATCTTATCCGAACATGTAGTTTGTTAAATATCCAGATCTTGTCGGGTGATACACAGATGTTAAAGTGGTCACAGTTGATCTAACTTAAACAGTACATCCATGGAAGAATAAAAGAACAGACCATCATAGTGTATATAAATTAATTTCCACCACAATTTCTCTCTTTTTATCATTAATGGATAACACTAAATACATTATATACTAGTTTCATAATCACGATGTTAATTATTTAACAGGTTTCTGCACACTCCATATACACTAGAGATGTTCAAACACTCTTAATATAGTTTACTCATTAAGATTTACTTTTACAAACATCCCTCTTCCCTGGGAGCCGGGTTAAACGAATAATCCCTTTCATTGCGCTCCTGACTAAAATCAGACCCTCAGTCACCCCACAGAGGTTCAAACCACAGAAATCGGCTGTTAATTTGACATTATTATTGTTTAATACACAGTAAGTTATGTTAAACATTGCTTCAATCAGTTACAAATCACTAATACTCCACATCATTTGTTCACCATTACAATACATCCACATATATAGGAACATGCTGTTGTTACTGCACTCTTAAATATTCATCACATTTACACTCTTCTCTCAGTTTTCATGTAAAGGATCACTCTTTTAAGATTAACTACAGAACATGTCAACTCATCAGGTTTGCTGGTTTTGTTGGGACAGACCCAAAATATATTTAAGAAAGCAAATAGTGATTTTACTCGCAAAGATGTCAATTTTGTGAAATTCTTCAATTAAGTAACAGCCATTACCTAATTTTCACCCTCAATCTGACACATAGCTGTCGCTATCATCAAAGTCATAGTCAAAATCATCACCCATGTCAATGTTCATACAGTTAGCTTCACCATCTGATGTGATGTTGACGCTGTGATCAATCTACTTACTGATCATCATACAAATCTAAATATACACGGCAAACAGCATACTATCATTAGACCTATCCCCAGTACAGGTAACACTACAGTACAGGCCCAATAAATCCAATCTCCCTCTTTGAATGACAAACCAGTCTAGCCAGAAACAATTTGCTGGAATCAGCTAAATAAGAGGTGACACTGGCAGCAATACCAGTGTTGTTCTCCTCAGACCACACATTCCAGAAGACAGAATGGATGGCGACGCATTTTCAGCTTTGATGATTATAAGCACAACCATTCACCTCTCTTTTATTGGTCTCTCTTTCGCTGGTCTGTGCTCTTGTTGGTGTTAAACTCAGAAGTTACACCACACCTCTTGTCTTTGTTGTTGTTTCTCCACAGCTGTGACCTTGCTTCACTCAAAT